GGAGGGCTGTGACCATACTTGCTAATGCATAGATCATTGCACTTCATAGCATCACAAGGCTGTGTTGGTGATGGGATGTACACATGACAATAGGTCATTAATCCATTCATCTTAGTACCTTCAATTTTGTGTAAAAAAAAAAAATTACTTAGTAAAAGATCATAAATTATAAATTTTCATTGAATATATAAATCACATAAATGAATATTTAACTTACTGTGAACACTACTATAGAGGACAAATAAGAAGAAAGTTATGCTTAAGAAGTACTTCATGATTCAATCCTCAAATTGTGTCAATGAAACTTTTGATGTTAAATTAAGTTATTATAAGCTATATATATATATATATATATATATATATATATATATAACACATTAATTTAAGGTCAAGGAATAATTAACTTTTCAAGATTATGAAAATAAATGAATAGTTTACCAAATTCTTAGTTAATTATTAAAGATAATACAGACATGACATTAATTAATTTTAGTCAAGTGATACTTACTTTTCAAGATTACTAATAAATATGAATAAATTTTTAAAAAATATATTATTTTTTACCTAATTAAATTAGAAATATATAAAAATAGTTATAAAAAATGACTTAATTAAGAGTAACTAACTATATATTATAAAACTAGGCCTTCCCTTCCACCTAAGTGGACTATTCTTTCCTTATGGAATCTAAGAGAAGAGAGATATTCTTGTGTAAGGCGAAAAATCAATGTCCTTCGGAATTATAAAAAGATAAAAAATTGTATGCCTTTAAATCCCGTCTTTCTTGATTCATATCAAGACGATTAATAGGTGGAGTTGTTTGAAGATAATGTTGAAAAAATTGTTCTCGATGTTTGACAATTAATTAAGACGTTAAGGTCAGCACAAGCATCAAATTAAAAACGTAGTGATTTAGCTAAGGATTTTATGACGTTTCAAAAATTCGAGTTAGATGTAAAAATAATAAATACAAAAAGATAAATCTGAATCACATAACACATACATATTTAGATATTAAAATCAATATTTAAGAATGTACTCAGTGCACAAAAATAATTAGAGTTGAAAAGAACAAATAGAACAAGACAAGTGTTTTATACCTAATCGGACGATATATTATATTGTCATGATCATCCGTCACTACTAATATTTAAATTATTTATTTCAACAAATAATAGACTAATATATACAACAAAATATTCACTTCCCATGAGGAGAAAAGTAACTAATCTAATACAAAACAAATAGTCTAATATTATTGGTGTTTATCCGCCACTAATAATAATTAAGTTGTTTATTTCAACAAAAAATAGATTAATATTATTACTGTTTGTCCACCGCTAGTAACATTCACATTATTTATTAAACAAAAAATAGACTAATATACCAAAAAAAAAAAAAAAATCAGACGGATATTATTAGTGCAAATCCACCACTAATAATATTTAAATTATTTATTTCAACAAAAAAAATAGACTAAATACTAAAGAAAATTATTCACTTCCCATGAGGAGAAATATAGATTGATATTATTAGTGCTTATCCACCACTAGTAATATTTAAATATAATTTGTTTCAACAAAAAATTTATTCACTACTCATCCCCCAAGAGGAGAAAATCAAAACAACCACGGATTTTGAACAAGCAATACGTGACAAGTGAATGACATGATTCTTGTTCGTGACTTAAAGACTGCTAGTTTGAATTCTATACCAATATTATTCTTCGTGCGATGAGAATACATTCCTTGTGAGCCACTTGTTTCTCTCAAAGAAGAGGTCTTTGCACCCCTAGCTCCTTTACGAGCCGTCATTTAGAAGCCTTGATTTCGAGCTTTGAAAATTTTACCTAAATGTTATCGATCGAACATGATGATTAACATATAGAACCTCTTCTCTTTTTTCCAAATCAATGATTCATATATTCAATTGAGATCACAAATTGCATCTAATGAAGTAAAATCTTGAAGTTCTTTGTCTTGTTCAAAAAGTGTCATTTCTTGATCAACCATAACAATCCAAGCTTCAATTCCACCAGGAAATTCTTTAGAATCTAATAAAACAATATTATCTTTTATCCCAAGAGTCGCAACAATCGTAGAAATAGACTCACCCCATCCAAAGTTTGCTTCATAAATCGGAAATTTACACCAACTTGAAATTGTTAACACGCAAAAATCATCCCCTTGACTCATAATAATTTTTCCGACTTGTTTAAAAATACTATTTACAAACTCAAAACCATCCTCTCCGTGTATTTTCTCCACGTAATTACCATCAATTCTCCCAATTGCACTCTTTATTTTTCCTACCAATGAACACCATTCATTTTCCACACTTGCTATACAACTTATTACTAAAAAAAAGTTACCAAATGAATTTTCATCAAAGGGTGGAACTATCCTTTGCCTTATATTCACTGGAATAATTGCAACAGAGTTACACCCTTTTGCAGCCATGAAACATTTCCATAACAAAGCCATAACAACTTCTACACGTGTCGCGTTCTCATTGTAACCCCAATTTATCAACTTAGCCTTCATTTTAGCTATATTTGAAGTAGTAAAAACAACTCTTTTTACTACTAATTTTTCAGCTACAATACGAATTGGCATGTTGTTTACATTTAACGTGTTATCAATTGTCCCTCTCGATGGAAAAATTGACGATAAAAAGACGAAAATAGAGTCTTTTCTTACCTTGTTTGCCCCCATGTTCTTCAAGTTGGATGCTTCAGAAGAAGTAGTATATTTTTTAAGGATCTGGCACGGGTGCAACAATATTTCTGAAGAGTATGTGCAACATGTGTTGCTTCTTATTGATCCTTCGCTTGCATTGCTCCAATTCATAATGAATTTACAAAGGCTAGAAGCATCACCAATCTTATGTGAAATGGAGATACTAAGTGCTATACCACCACAATTGAATAAGTTAACTTGAATGGCTAAGAGTTGTTGAAAATTTGATAAGGTGCCATTTGAATTGTAAGGTGTGAGTTGGACCAATTCATTGGATTTTGGATTCTTGATTATGTCTAAAAGTGAAGCATCCACTTGTGATTCTTGATAGTAAGCTCCTTCATCATTGCAATCAATTGAATATTGGGACTTTATTCGTCCAGCCAAAGGGTAAAATTGAGTTAAAGTTTGTGAAAGTGAAGTTTTTAAGTGGTTGCATATTTGTGATTGTGTGATGTTTTCACTCTTTTTGAAGAACAAAATGAGTGGAATTGAAGAATGGGGTATTAATTCATCTATGAAAGAGATTTTGTGGTCTCTAAGTTCATGTGGAGTTGGGGATGATGGTTTGATAAGCTCTTCACAAATCTTGGCAATTTTCATTTTATTTTCTTGAACATGTAAGAGGAGAATGTAGCTTGTTTCTTGTTTATATAAGCAACTGAGTTTGACAATGTAAGTTGTAAGCCTATGCAAGAATAAGTGGAATTAGTATAAAAGCTTTAAAAATTTGTCCAGTTGTCTCATAAAATACTTTTATATTATACTAACAAAGATTAGTTTAATAGATTAAAAATAATATTTCTAATGATAATACAAATTTTATTGCTCCACTTTAAAATTTCTAATGATAATAAAAGATTCTAGAATATCACATGGACATATATAATATATATATACCAACTCGACTGAATTCATGTGGTTGGACTAGTTGTTTATAGGTTAAACTTAAACTAGATTAGAGCCCGCTTGTACCGATCTAATACGTGCTTTTTTTCAATTTACGTGATATAAATAGAATTTGAAGAGTTGATCAAATTTTAATATGATTTTTTGATATTTTAAGTTATTAATTATTACTATAATTTATAGTACTTTTTACGTAATTTTTATTTATCTCAATTCATGTGTCATTAGTAGAATTTCGAGAGTCAATCGAACTCGTTATGTGTCTTTTAAATAGTTTAAGTTGTTAATTATTGTAATTTATAGTACTTTTTACATAATTTCAAATACTCCCTTTGTTCCTATTTAGTTGTCACCAGTTTAGATTTCACGTCCCTTAAGAAACTAGATAAGTTGACCATTGTACCCTTATTTAGTGTTCTCTTAAAGTCGAGTTTTCAATCAATGAACATGAATTAATTAATTTGACCAAATGGACATGATTTATTTACTTAGTTTTCCTATGATGGTCAAATACTTATTTTGCAAGGCTAATAAATCTCAAGGGTAAAACATGAAGAATGATGTAATTTATGCATTGGTTTTGTGAAATGACAAATATTAAGGAACATTTATTTTTAGTAAAGACGACATGTAAATAGGAACAGAAAGGGTATATATTAGTCCTTTTTTTCTCAATTTATATGGCACAAATAAAATTTCAAGAATCATTCCTGAGTGGTGGATAAACACTTATATTCAAACTATACTTTGTTTTGAATAGAAGAATTAACAAAAAAGATAGGAAACTCTGTATGGCCAATGGCTGATTGTTTCCACGGGGGAGAAGATCAGTCCCCAGATTTTTGCTATGTTGCTCGGATTCTCCAAACATGTTGATATGTCTTTATCAGATCCTCGAAAAAGTAACAGTTTTTGGAGCATCTGACACACACCCGACTGTACTTTTTGAAAAATTCCAAGCAGTCATTAGTTTTTAGCTATGTTGCTCATACTCTCCGTAAATGTTGTCAACACCATTGTCGGATCATCCAAAATGTATAAGGAGTATCCGAAATACACCTGACAGTATGAAGAGTCCGAGCAACATAGGTTTTTTTAGTTGACACACTAGTAACCTAGTAGGTAGTGCTTGTATATCAGCAAAATTCTGGCAGCCCCTAACTTCCTGGACACATGAAGAAAGAAGTCATTTTCTTTGTATTCTACTGTAATTCAGCTTGAATTCAATACTTTCTTTGAATAATAATAATATATAAATATCATTTTTTTTACTCCTAAGTTTTATCAAACACACTAATAACGACACCAAGAATATTCCTAGTTACATCTTTTCTTCATTTCATTTCTAAACTTATGGATAGGGAAAATATCATTTTCCTCTTCTTGCTAGTACTAACAGTTTTCACTCTTCAAACTTCAACAGCTTCTCAGATGTTGGTTTCTCGTAGACACCTCGTAGGAGAATGGCGATTGTTGCACAAAAGTATTGGCATAACCGCGATGCATATGCAACTCTTGCATAATAACAAGGTAGTTATATTTGATAGGACGGATTTTGGACGTTCTAACCTCTCCCTTCCAAGAGGGCGTTGTCGTTATAATTCCCATGACTTGGTCCTACACAAAGACTGCTCTGCTCACTCTGTTTTATACGACATTGGTAGCAACACGTTCCGTCCACTAATGGTCCAAACGGATACCTGGTGCTCCTCTGGTGCTGTCCTCCCAAATGGAACGTTAGTACAAACCGGGGGATACAATGATGGAGACCATATAATACGTACTATAGCACCTTGCACGGGTGAGAATTGTGATTGGTTTGAGCTTCCCCGGACTTTAATTCAACGAAGATGGTATTCAACTGACCACATCCTTCCTGATGCACGAATAATCGTGATAGGGGGAAGAAAACAGTATAACTATGAGTTCTACCCGAAAAATTACAGAGGAAACTCTGCTTTCAGGCTACAATTTCTCAAGAGTACTCGAGACAGGAAAGACGAGAACAACTTGTATCCATTCGTGTTCTTACTACCAGATGGAAACCTTTTAATTTTCGCGAATACACGAGCTATAATTCTTAACTACAAGAAAAATCAGGTGCTGAGGGAATTGCCTTCCATTCCAGGTGATGAACCTAGGAACTATCCAAGCACTGGCTCAGCAGTCTTACTTCCACTAGACGAAAATCGCCCTATGGAAGCTGAAATCATGGTATGTGGAGGAGCCCCTCGTCGTGCATATGGACTTACAGCTAATATGGTCTACATGAAAGCCCTTTCAAGTTGTGGACGAATCAGTGTCAGCGATGATCATGGTAGATGGAAAATGGAGACAATGCCAACGCCACGAGTCATGAGTGATATGATAATACTACCCAATGGGGATATTCTTATCATAAATGGTGCATCAAGGGGAACAGCAGGCTGGGATAACGCGCGTTCCCCTGTCACTAGGCCAGTGATTTATCGGCCTAACATGAGGAGATACAACAGGTTTTCGATCATGAAAGCATCTTCAAGACCCCGGCTTTACCATTCCTCAGCCATTTTGATGACCGATGGACGGGTTCTAGTAGGAGGAAGCAATCCACAGGAAAACTACAACTTCACTGGTGTGGAATTCCCAACTGATCTAAGCTTGGAAGCCTTCTACCCGCCTTTCTTAGCCCGAAAACACAAGCATCTAAAACCAACAGTCCTCTCTATGGATGAAATCTTGATATACAAAAAATCATTTTCCGCGACTTTCACAGTGCCTAGATTCTTGAGAATGGGGACTGTTTCAATCAGGATCATCGCGCCTTCATTCACCACACATTCTTTTTCGATGAACCAACGAATGGTGGTGTTGAAGGGAGTCGTGGTTGTTGCAGTATCCGCTAATACTTATAAATTCACAGCATTTGGTCCATCAACTAAAGAAATTGCACCACCAGGATACTATTTGCTCTTTGTAGTACATGCTGGCATACCAAGCTCTGGTATGTGGGTGAAAATCCAGGATAGTACTTGACATACACAAACAAGTGTGATAACAAACAGTGACGGAACCAGAATTTTATACAAGTTGAAACGTATGACCTAAAGCAACTTTTGAAACCCCTTTATCATTTTACAAGAATTTTCCTTGAATCAAAGGAATTCAACAACTTATATATAACTAAAAAAAACTCGTTTTAACAATTTTCTAGCAAAGGGGATTTATTAAATCCCCTTTGTTCAAAGCTAGGTACGCAACCGTTCATAGATTACTTACATTTGTTAAAAACAAGGTCAAATACATCAACGACCCCTTAGATTTGTCAATAAATTTCAAATATACATGCATAGGAAACCGACCTATTGAACACCTACATGTTAGTAAAGAAAATATGTCTATTAAACACTTCACTAAAATTCAGTTAGAAAAACAAGACGTATAACATATAATAATGGCTTTAACATGGCAAAATAACAAATAAATTTCATATCTTTTTTTTAGAATATATTGGGGAAATGTGACTTTTTTTCTTGGTTATATAACTGAATTATTAGATGTTCAACTATGCTTGCTTATTTGTTTTGGTTATAGAAAATTTGTTTATGTGACAAAGAGTCTCCTCCTCCTAAAAGGAGACCAATCACATAAAGTTTATGTAACAAGAAATCATATAGTTCATGCTTATGTTTAGACGCGTAGTCAGGAATTGAATTTTATGAATTTGAACTTAATATTGAATTCATAACTCATTTTAATTATGAATTTGCGATTAAAGTAAGTTGTTTTTTCAAAAAAAAATAATAATTTGTGAACCACTATCAAATGAAACTAAAGGGGTGACAATGTAATTTACTACAGGTATATTAGATTAAAAAGTAAACAAATAACAGAACACGTAATCATCAAAGAAAATCCAAGGGATCCACGTGATATACCCATAAACAAATATATTTTTTTCGTTTCGTTTGATGTGATACTATTTAAAATTTAATAAAAATTATATAATATCAAAAGAGATTTACGTTTTTAAAAAATTTTTAAATATATAATATCAAAATTTTAATAAATTTATATAGTTGTAAGGTGATCGAATTGATTGAACATGTAATTTTTATCAAATAAGTTTGAAATCTCCCCCTCCCCGCTCCCTAACCTCGCTTTATGCTTCTTCGATCGAGCTTGTCATACGAAATTTGACTAGTAAAATTTACCTCTCCTATATAATCTAGGACCTATTAAATATAACAGAAATACATATAACAATACTGTAATTAAATATTAAATAGTTTAAAATAAAACTTTTTAACAAACTTAAGGGAAATCAACGTCATGAGCACGCGTCAAAGTATATCTAAATCAAAAAAACCTCAATTATTGCAATTCTAGTCCAAATTAAACTCATAAAAGGATACGGATAAATCACAATTAGTTCCCTTTTCAATTAAAAAGTAGGCTAAAATATTAAGTTTTTTTGTACTATATATGCACTCTGTTGCGTGCATAGAATTGTGTGAAGCTAGAGTTTTTCTGAACCCATCTCAGATTTTGCACTGGTAAGCCTTTTATCTCTTCAATCATTCTTGTTTTTGCAGATTACATGTCGGGTTTTCTTAAAATTGATAAAAAATAAATGGAGCTTTTTGGTGATTTTTGATCTGTTATGGATGTAAAGTTATGATCTTTGGGGTATTTTTGTTGAGATCCGTGAAGGGTAAGAGCTGAATTTTGTTTCTGGTGATGATCTTTTGGTTACATGAGATTGGTGACATTGTAGATTAGTGATGGTATAAATTGCTTAAAAATTTCTTGATTGGGTTATCTTTCTTCTTCTTTCTTTTTTCGATTTTTACATGGATATGGGTGTTAGTTCTGATTATAAGTTTTTTTTTTCTATATGGAGATTAGAAAGGGGGGTTGGGGTGTTAGTATTGGCTATATAGTGATGATAATTGTGTCATGATATATGGTGATTATTTAACTATTGGCTAATGTTTTGTGATTAATGGTGTTGCTAAAAATTGGAGCTTTTTCCTCTTTTTTTTTTTTTTTTAAAAAAATTGATTGGTTATGTGTAAAGTTTTGATCTTTGAAGTATTTTTGTTGAGATCTACTCCAGGATGGGGTGTGGAGGCTTGAGTAGTTAATGGGATTTGAGAACTCTTTTAATTACAGATTTTACTTTAACTATTGGCGAACGTTTAGTGATTAATGGAGTTGTTTATTGCAGGTTTGACAAAGATGAGAGAAAGGAATGTTGGGAAGTGTTTGTTATTCCTTCTTTGTTTGAATGTTGTCTCAAGTGTAGTGGTAAGCAAATCTCCGGTTCTGCACCTTTGGTCATCTCCCTTAGTATGATTTTCATGAGTATACATATGTATAACCAGATGTCTAATTGTGACTAATGCATATCTTTTTGAGTTCTTTAATATTTGTTTTTCAATTATGTTGTTTCTTCTTATATTATGAAAAAGTATATATATCTCATTATGTACGTCGGTGTCATCCCAAATGCAGATTGCTGCTGCTCCACCAACTTGTCCTGCTGATACTGGCAGTGATTGTGGGAGTGATTCAGGTGAATGGGAAGGGGAGTTCTTCCCTGGAATTCCAAAAATTAAGTATGAGGTAATAATACTAATATACACCCATTAGTTACAGAAATTTTAAGTATTGAACTTGTTGGTGAATTGGGATATGCTATTTGACTGAATTTTAATTGCTAATTTTAGGGTCCTTCTAGTAAGAACCCGCTTTCCTTTAAATGGTACAATGCCGAGGAGGAGATTCTTGGGGAAAAGATGAAGGTTAGTTGTGATTACTTGTTTATAGGATTCTTGGCAAAAACTATGTGATTTTGTACTTATAAATAGTTATAATTTCTTTGTTTGATATAGGATTGGATGAGATTTAGTGTAGCATTTTGGCATACATTTCGTGGCACAGGAGCTGATCCATTTGGTGCTCCTACAAAGACGTGGCCATGGGAAGATGGTACCAACTCCCTGGCTATGGCCAAGAGAAGACGTGAGTTCATAGATTACTATGTCTTCCAATTTAGATGCAACTCTAATTTCTAAGTAGCTTTTGAATAGGACTTATTTCTCACGCTATTACTAATTTACAGTGAGAGCAAACTTTGAATTCCTGGAGAAACTTGGAGTAGAAAGATGGTGCTTTCACGATAGGGACATTGCTCCGGAGGGCAAGACCCTTGAGGTAAATTTGAGAGAATGCTAAGCTTCTAGAGCTTTTATTCTGCATCCCCATCCCAATAATAAAGTGGATTGGCGAAGCTCATGTCTGATTGTTGAATCAGCTGTGTTTAATCCCAGCTCCGTCTCTTGTGAGCATAAAATCTTTGTTATCCCGAAGAATTTGACATTAACTCAAAATATATGGTTTGTGTTATAGGAAACAAATGCAAACTTGGATGAAGTGGTGGCTCTTGCCAAAGAGCTTCAGGTAATAATTAGTTATTAGTTTGATGAACAATTAAGTTGTAAACCAAGTGTCATAACTTTTTCCGACAGAACATGAATTTTCCTTCTGCTCTCTCACATTTCCTGATGCCTTCTTAAACTAATACCAGTTTTACTAGTTCATCTCGTTATGTTTTGTCAAATGGTTCTCCTAAGAACCATGAAAGGCTCAATTATGATTTATCTTGAATACTTCCCTCTATGTGGATTTTACAGGGAGATAAAATTCATCTTTTGTGGGGTACAGCTCAATTGTTCCTCCAGCCTCGCTACATGCATGGTGCTGCTACTAGGTATGCATTCATACAGAATTGCCTTTGATTCACCCTGTATAAGAAAAGTGTGCTCATGCTCGGAAAATGTGGAATTGCAGCTCCGAATTAGGTGTATATGCATATGCTGCTGCTCAGGTCAAGAAAGCCATGGAGGTACAAACTTCTGCTTTCCTCTTTATGTGACTTTATATAATGAGATCAGACTATTGAACGAGAACTCTGATTACTTCAACAAATACAGTACTTGAAGTAGGATTTGCTTGAACAGTACCTTTGCGTGTGTTTCATTTTCAGGTTACACATCATCTTGGGGGAGAAAATTATGTCTTTTGGGGTGGTCGAGAAGGCTACCAGAGCCTCCTAAACACAGATATGGAAAGAGAACTTAACCATATGGTAAGATTGTCACCTTAATACATATCAGCAAAATTCAGATATGTTAATTTCACAATTAACAGATTTTCTCTTGTAAACAAGTTAAAAACCCATCCTATGCCATTATCCCATCTTTCTTTGTGGGCTTTGAGGGTGTTTGGGGCCCAATGCAGAAGAGAGTATCCGCTACTGAATTTCTTTATTTTGTTTAAGATTGCTTACTGTACTGAGAAATGTGATTTTTAACTCATTGCAGGCAAGGTTCATGGAAGCTGCTGTCGCTTACAAAAAGAAGATTGGCTTCAATGGTATTTCAACTTAACAACCTGTTCTAATATTGTAGAATTTAATTTTCTACCATGGAGCTCAAAGTTTTAATAGAAGTGTAAAAAACTCTGATTTGGCATCTTGTGTAGCTCGCCAATCTTATTAGTTTGTAAGTTAACCTGTTATTTGATTTGATTCCAGGAACATTACTAATTGAACCAAAGCCTCAGGAGCCAACAAAACACCAGTATGTTTTACTTTATGTGATGCATGCTGAGAATGTGATCTCCTAAATTTTTGCCTAAATTACTTGTTATATTAATCTAGGTATGACTGGGATGCTGCAACTTCTGCTAATTTCTTACGCAAATATGGGCTTATAGGTATTTAATTCATTCTTCATTTCCTTCATAGTGCATTCTCAAAGAAGTGGCATGGGAGCTTTGTTATTACATTTTCGAATAAGAGGGGATCATAATGATTTTCATTTGTGTTTACTGCAGGAGAGTTCAAATTAAACATCGAGTGCAACCATGCCACTTTGGCTGGTCACAGGTTTGTGGTTTTTCAGTGCGAAATTAAGTATGCCTGTCTTTTGCACCTTATTAAATCAAACTCGTGTTTTGCAGCTGCCATCATGAGCTTGAAACAGCAAGAATTAACGGTTTGCTGGGCAACATTGACGCAAATTCTGGCGATCCCCAGATTGGTATGTTACATGAAAATATGAGAATACTTATCAAACATGTCAATGTTTTCCCTTGTTATTGCTATAATACCACGAGACTTGAAGATATGAAAGCTTATCCATAATGCAGGTTGGGACACAGATCAGTTTTTGATGGATGTCGCTGAGGCAACATTGGTGATGCAAACCGTTATTAAAAATGTCCGTGATTAGACATATCCTTTTTAATTGCTAGAAAACTGAAAAGTGTGAATCAGTCAAAAGTCACTAAATTCTTAATTTTTAACGCTGATCTTTTGTTTGAACAGGGAGGATTGGCACCAGGAGGATTCAACTTTGATGCGAAATTGTTAGTTCCATACTCTGCTATTACCTTTTGTTTTCCATCATGAATTTTTTACTTTGACAGTAACGAATTAGTCAATATCATTCAAGTGTGTCTCAATCCCAAACTATTTCGGATTGGCTAGACAGAGTAACTAATCCAAAGACAGTACTTGTTTCATTATCCGTCATATCAAAAGAGTATGTTTTTAAGGCTTGGGGATGATGGTTTTTGTTCCTCCTAATAGGCGGAGGGAGAGTACCGATGTTGAAGACCTATTTATTGCTCACATTGCTGGTATGGACACTCTAGCCCGTGGCCTCAGAAATGCTGCCAAGCTAATTGAGGTGGTGTTCCTTTCTCAACTACTAACTAAATTTTCAATCAACCAATATAATAGCTCAAATATGCAATAGCGTACTTAATTTTCCTTGTTTGCAAACAGGATGGCTCGTTGAGTGATCTTGTCAGAAAGCGATATCAGAGTTTTGACTCCGAGCTTGGTGCTGCAATTGAGGTATTGTTTTACTGTCACCTTTTCGTTTTCCATCCGTCTACCATGTTCCGTTCACTAACGCTTGAGATTAAAACTCCTTGTTCTCTAACAGTCTGGGAAGGCAGACTTTGAACTGCTCGAGAAGAAGGCGCTAGAATGGGGAGAACCTAAAGTTCCTTCTGGAAAGCAGGTAACATTTTATAGACAATGGTTATGCTTACAATGTTCACTTGCCATAAATAATATTTCATTATTTGCAAATACTAAAGTTTAGTATTAACGAATGACGTTCTGATCATCATTATCTACAAATACTGAACTTTAGTATTTGAAATACCAGTGAAATCGTATTTCAAGTAACATAATGGTTTTCACTCATTTTCAAGTGAAATTTACTGTTGAAACGCCACTTATCTTTAACGTCAAATACGTTTTCTTTTTAAACCTTCAACCAAACATTGTCATCTAATATGCACATATCTGGAACTTATTTTTGTGTGTGTGATCTTACTTTAATTTTTTTGTTTGGTTCAAACTATTGCAGGAGCTTGCAGAGATGATTTTTCAGTCAGCATTGTAGAAATCAGAGTTTTATACTCTTTAGTAGCAGCAGTAGGAAATAATATTATCATCATGGGTAGGAAGAAAAATTGAGAAATAAATATTTTACATATTCAGTGTATGGGTGTTCCCAGTGAATTTTTTAGTAAACTGATTATGCAGAAAGTTGAATGTTTATTACCCCCACTTCAATGACTACCATGCTTCTGAATATTTATTTATTTTTAATACAAGGTACTATGTAAAAAAGTAACTTTTTATGTGTTGACGGTGTAAAAAGGTTTGGACTATTTCTTTCTAAAATCTCAAACAAGTAGGGATTGGCTATTTGAATCGCTTCATTTGAGAGTGCCTTAGTCCTAATTGTATCCCCAAGCAATTTAGGGATCATCTATTTGAATCTTTGCTATCTATGTCTTTAGTTCGATATATTTAAAACCGATTAAATAACCCTTATCTAACATTTTACACATATCAACATGACAAACTAATTAGTATCGCCTATATATATATTTTTCTTCCATCATCTCTCCGTTTGTTTTTTATGTAATTTTAGACTTACTTCGTCATCTTTTAACACCTCTAGTTGACATGGTAGGCTTGGTCAAGCCATCTCAAGTGAATTTGTCTCACTTTATCCTCTTTGTGGTATCATTTTCTAATTTATATACACAGTATAATATTGTTTTGTCTAAAAATCATCCTTTTTTTATGAAGTTGTCTTTCAAATCATTATGTTGAACATGCCTTTAATTTTAGTTAAATAATTTTCTATAAACATTTCTCCAATTGTATCTGTTTTATAACATCATCTATGAGTTAAATCTAAATTGTTTGTCAACTTTACTCTTCTTCTGATGCTACTAACTAAGCTTAATATATAGTTAGTCTCACTTCTACTCATCATAAAACACTTGTTTTTCCTAACTTGCAAACATCATTGTTTTCGCTACATACCGCAAAAACTATATGTTAAAATCAAGATCAAGACAAATATACCAAAACAAGAAAGAAACAAAAGAAAAGATGAAGGGAAAACCATTTGAGCTTTTCAAGAAAAGAGAAAGTGTAAATTGTAATCTATGAAGTCAAAATAAAGCCTCGTATTCTCATTATCTGTGATAAGTATAAACATTATATATCCGCGCAGTTCGCATTAATCAGAAACTATGGCAATTAGAAAAATAATTGAAGGCCGAAATCGATTCACACATTAATACCAAGTTCTCTCTTGTTTGTCTTCACAGTCTATCTGCTGCATCGTTTACAAAAATTTAGCCACCTCCGGATTTGAGTGTATTACTCAACCTACATTTAGAAGAATCGAGAAATAAGGCGTGAGAACGATAGGTTCATTTGTGTGCGTGTGCGTGTGTGTGTGTGTGTTCAACTCATGTGAAGACATTTCAGAAAAGAACTGCAAATGTGATATCAGCAAAGCAAAAGACGAGAAGATGAGGCTGAAAAATGTTTGCATAGCCTTGGATCGATCCTCTCATCCAAATAGACTAACCAAGTTTGACATATATCACTTTGTTTGTTTATCTTAGTTTATCAAATTATCTTTTCCAAAAAAGACAACCCAATTGAACGGAAGCTTTGGAGCAACGGTAAAGTTAACCCTGTGCAACCTATAGTTCACGGGTTCAAGTTGTGGAATTACCACTGATCCTTGAATCATGGTAGGCAGCCCACATTTCATCCCCTTAGGGTGTGACCCTTCCCAGAACCCTACATGAACGCAGGATGTTGTGCATCGGAGTGCCCTTTTTTTCCAAGGAGCCCACTTAATGACAAATGAGAACACTGGTATGACCGGTGGAATCAACTAGAGTTTCAAAAAATATGGTTTGCATTCATGCCATATAATTTGCCGTAGCAGCATAAAAAAAAGTAAGAAGTTGAGCTCACCAGTCCAAGCCCTCAAAGAGCCCTTCTCCTTTGATGGCAGAAGTCTTAAAAATAGCCCACTGCCTATTTTTAATCTTGTGCAGCTCTAAGGCCTCAGTCACTGCAGCATCATCAAGTGCACCAGGAAGATCCTGTCAACAATTGAAGACTCTAAATAAATGATAGTGAATGATTACGTGCTTATCTGAACAAACGGCTAATGTCAATCTGGATGTGGGTTGGTATTTCTGTGTGGCACGTGCACGGGTGAGAGAGAGAGAATGCAAGTTGGCCAAAGAAAGAACAACAACGACTACACCTTAATACCAAACTATTTGGAGGCTGCTATATGAATCATCTATTTCCAATTGCGCTCCATTGGGCTTATTCCAGTCCAATAACCAATAGTTTGTCTTTCAAAACAAAATAGGGATTTTCTGAATCTAGAGGTTCTATAAATCTCAGACTATCCGTACATTGGCATGCAAATCTCGAGGAGGCAAAAGAAGAACTATGTAGCAATTTTAATACTACTAAATAGCAACTCAAAACTATGGCTTAATAATGAAAGAAGACATTGCATTTATTCCAGGATCAAATGGACCAAAGCTTCTTCCTCAGCTATGTAGAAAAAGAACTAGCAAGGACGCAAACCTGCTTGTTAGCATAGATGAGGACGACAGCACCCTTTAACTCTTCCTCCTGGGAAAGAAAAAAAAAAGGAAACATGCATCATCAATGGCCATCCTCACAAGTAACATACATCGTAAATGCTATTCCTCAGAAGTCAAATAAAAAGATGGGAACCAGAAAGCTTAACTAGAAATTAGAAGATTCAAAAGGAAAAAAATTGATGGCTTCCTGGTAGTACAAATTGTATTTCTATTATTTGTACAACTCTTAAAAAGTTGCATCTCTGGCACCCACACAAATACAATTCTACCATAAGTAGAAATTATTCCCCACTTGCAGCAAAATGGCTCTTTAACTTAGCAAAAGTTGTAGTATGAAAAATTCAAAAAAAAAAAAACAATGTATAGGCAACCTTTCCGTTTTTAAGTCCTTTACAATGTTCCTTTTTGCGAAGCTTTTGAATTGAAGGACACATGTCACTTTCAGGTAGCAGAGTAACCACAACTAAAAAATCACTCGGAGAGATGTTAACTTCCATCGAAAGAGCAGAAAAGACCTAATCTCAAACAAATTTGAGTCGGCTATATAACCTCACTAACCATGTTTCTCCATTCAACTCATCTCAAGCCAATATTCTAAGAACTGCTTATTCTGTAAATCACTTTGCTAAACAGCTTTTCAAAAAAACACTCTTACTTGTCCTGTTTTGACAAGCAGCTCCCCCCTACTCCACAGAGTTTCATCCAAACACCACAACTCAATCAAAACAAATATTTTAAACACCTTCAGTGTTGTGTGTTCCTCACTCGCCCTGACATGGATGACACATCAAACCCACGTAACATGTAAAATTAAAATAAGTTTGAAATACCATAAAAAATGTAATGAAAAGGAAAAAAAATGTTCAAAGAATTCTACAGAATATATCCCCCCTCCCCATTTTATTTGTTTCTCTTCCATCTCCCCTTCGAGTCATTTGCCTCTCCATTATTTTCTTCTTTTTCCCCCTCTGTCATTTTTCTCACCATCTTCAATCCCCTTCTTCAGCCTCCCCCTTTCATTTTCTACCGTCTACAAATTTGTTTAATCCAAGATAAGCATGAATAACAAATATAAAGGGCAGTCCAGTGCACTAAGCTACACTATGCACCCGCCATGTACGAGGAAGGGCCGAACCACAAGGTTGTTTCCACAGCTCGAACACATGACCTCCTAGTCACATGGCAGCAACTTTACCAGTTACGGCAAAGCTCCCCTTCATGAATAACAAGTATATGGACGAAAAAAAATGACAATAAAGTGAATTTTTAATTGTTTGGTGTCACCTCTTCAAGAAACGTTTATTGGCAAGGAAAATATGTCTTAGAGCCTTGTGACGACATTGAAGTGCACACTAAGTGTAGCAAAACGCTCAACATGTTTTGAACCTTGCTTTAGAGTATAAGTGTGCTTTAAACGCCCTTTGACAACAATGGCACGAAGGAGCCAAGATCCGTATAAGGACACTAGGAGGAGACTCTGAACAATTCTCAATCGTGATGGGATTACACCAGGGATCAGCTCTTAGCCTGTTTTTATATGTCTTGACGATGGATAAATTGATGCGTCATATCCAAGGGGAGGTACCATGGTGTATGTTATTTGCGCCATAATCAATCAAGGATTTGAAATTAGTAACTAACTTTCCCATATAAGTATTATTAGTATACTGTCATATTATCTTATTCTCAGTTTTTTATTATTACTCGTCTCGTTTGCTTTATCATCACTCTCGTATTGTCTTATTCTTTGAGTTTTATTAGCATATGTTTTTCTTTTGCTTCAATTATCGTACTATTTGCTACTGCTATTGTTTTATTCTTCATCTTTTTGCTTTAAATTCCTTTACTCAAGCCGAGGATTTTCCGAAAACAACCTATCTACCTTCCAAGGTAGGGGGGTAAGGTCTGCGTACACACCACCTCCCGAAACTCCACTTATGGGATTATACTGGGTATATTGTTGTAGTTGTTCCCTTATGCTTCTGGTTAACTTTCTATTTTGTAGTTTCACAAGTTCTATATATTCTGAAATGACAATTTTGGGGGTATTACTGTGTGTTCAGAATTCCTTCACTTAACAGGAAAACATTGAAAAGGACAAGTATTTCTTTTGCAATACTAGCTAACAGCCGTTGTTTTGGTAAATCAAGTTTGCTTAGCATTCAGTGTCTGGATAGTGGATCCAAAATAAAAAGATACGTCCTATTTAGCAGCAATTGGTCACAATTAGAACCTAATTTTCAACAAGCAGGATATATATATATAGAGAGAGAGACACACATATACATATAGAGAGTGAGAGAGAGCAGCAAGGAAAAGGTACCTCCAATATGGCGTGGAACTCCTCGTTAGCAACCACGAGCCTATCAGTGTCACTTGAGTCAACAACGTAGATTATAGCTTGAGTATTAGGAAAATAGCACCTCCAGTATGGCCTAAGCAGCAAAAGAACCCATGAAGGACCTTTCCACATTTCAAAAAATCACGAAATGGGAGATGAGATATACATTATGATGGCAATTAAAAGTTCATACATAGTAGGTACACAGTATCAAAAGATGCTGAGATGACAGTATGAGGCTTAACCAGGGAAACAAGAGTGATTTACGAGAACCTCCGGACAATATAGACCTTGTATATCTAAAAGTCATTAAATAGTTCAGTTTTTGAGGCACTAAATTGAAGAAGCAAGCCCCAACACCAAAATGGCCACAGAAAAAGTGCAGGTCTGACTCGGCTTTTACTCATGCCTGAAGATATCTTTTGATAAAGTAATAAATTTTTATTAATGTTTGAGCAAAAAACAGAACACCCATATACAACATGTATACCAAAAAGTAGAAAACATACAAAAATATATGGCATTCTACGAAAAACACCAAGTCATCAATACATAAAGGAATTTCATGGGTGCACCGGAACGAAATAAAGGATAAGAGGGCAATACTCAATCGTACAAAATTCATCTCTACTTACTCAAAAGCTCTCTTATTTATCTCTTAAAATAATTCACATAAGTGCTGGTAGCACAACATTCAAGTCCTAGATATTTTCCTTCTTTTATCATAGTGACCATAGTTCCAAGAGAAAATAACCTCTTTCACAGTGTCTGGCATCACCCAAACTAGCCCAAACCAACTAAGGATTTCCCCCCACAACCTCGAAATTGCCAAACAATGAATGAAGAGATGGTCAACACCTTTGACATAAGCAACCTTCCTCTTTCTCAAATTCTTAGCCGCCAACATCACTCCTCTTGCTTCAAGCCAAGTGAAAAGAAAAAAAGAACACACCTTTCTCGATACTTTTTGAGATCTAAATCGAGCTATATGGAAATGCAATCTCCCCCCTAATCAGAAACATTTCATAATAAATTTTAACAGAGAACACTCCATTATTCCTTGTACCCACCTCCATACAGGCATACATCGTGGCTATCCTGCAATATACAAGCATACTTAGCTTTTGGAGCAAATAGACCAAGCCTTGGAACTCTGCCACCTTCTGGTCCTAAAGACATGTGACGGTTTCCTTAAAAAAATATGCCAATCGTGAATATCTGAATTAATAACTTAGCTTGTAGCCTACAACCTGGGAATCCGATACATATTGTTCCTTTTTTGATTAAGAGTCAATAAACTCTTACCGGCAATGTGTCAAAACATCATAGTAGAGATTTGGACAACAGCATAAGCCTGTTATAGCCTCACAAGATTCATGAATATCAGTAGTAGAGCCCAAATATATGGAAATCTTCAAATTTGTTGTCCTCACGTGCTATCTGGCTCACAAAGAAAAGCCCATAGTTGGACACAAGACATCTCTTTCCCTGGGTTCTTTCTACACTAAGCAGAGAAAAGAATATTTAGTGTTCTCAAAACTAAAAGAACTTTTCCTCAATTGATATGGTTTCTGAGACGAGATCTTCAAGGTAAAATTTATTGCATAAAGAACTTTATTCAAGCTTCTACTAGTATGTGTTAAGGCCAAACCACTTTATGACATATTTTGTCAAGGAATATATATTTAGACAGAGCAGCAAAAGGGTAAGACAAGCTCACTGGGACACATATAGTAATTCTCCAATATGCTACAACACTAAGACCGAGACGAATTGTCTAAAAGGAAGATGCCCTATTTGCCAAGTCCAGAAAGCATTTTGGCTATAAAGTAGTCACACGGATAGTAGATAAGATCTTCCTATACTTACTGTAAAATGTTCTATAAGCTAAAGAATTGGAAGTCGTTGTCTCGCGGCCTACTATTAATGCTGAAGCACTAAAAATCAATAGATCTGATTTCTAGACACTGCATATATTGAGAAAAAATCAAGTCTTGAATACATCGAACTACAATTTTCAGCTTAATAATCCCAAATTGACTTGTTATTTCACATCCTCACTGATGAGCCAATTCCTGAATCACTGGATCCAGTTCTATGCACTACCATCCATTGAATCAGAGAGTGAAAACTTGGAAGGTAAGGAAGTGAACCACTTATGACATTGGTCATCAAGTAAAGAACTCTAGATATTGACTAGGTGTGTGCAGTATGACCTTTATTTATAAAAAATATCAAAATTTTGCACTAGCACCTCAACTACAAAAGAGATGGAAAGACTGATAGGGGAGACGAGCATACTAATCAATGAAGTTAACATCCACCATGCACATTAGTAGATTTCAAGATAGATACAAAAGATATATATGTACAATTCTTTTTATTATAAGTTTGAGAGCCACATAGAAGTTACCTGATACTAGTCTGTCCCCCTGCATTATTGTAAAAAAGGTGAAAAAAAGAAACATGATTAGAAGAAAGTCATATTGTTGATTCTAGGTAGAGAGGAAAATAAATAGAAATGATGCTATGCAGAAGAGAGCAACAAAAGCAAATCTGTCAAAAACACCCAAAAATTAAAGAAATAATTATAAAGAAAAAAGGGAAACGAGCAGGGGCGTAGGCACATGTATGCCAGGGTGTCCAATTGGACACCTTTCGTCGGAAAAAAAATACCGCATATTCAAGTAAAATGATACACGAAGTGATTAAATAACATATTTTGGACACCCTTGACATAATAGGATGTTATAGCCTAGTGGTTTAAGATGTCTTGAATGTGTGTTTAGACATCTTTAATGAGTCAGTGCTCGCGTGTTCAAATCTCACTTGCAACAAAAAAAAAAATTCCCTTTCTAAAAAGAGCTTTTGTTGTTTAATTTTTGGACCCTCTTCGTGAAATTCTTGGCTCCGCCACTGGAACGAGATGAGAGGAATGAGAAGAACCCTAAACAATGATCTTTGATCTGAACAATCACAGAGATTTGCACTATTACGCTTCCACTTTTATTACAATGCCGAGGTGTAGTTTAGTATTTTCTCTGAAGGGTAACATTCCTCTTTCGCTGTTTGCCTTTAAGCAGAAACAAAATTCATTTTTGGTTCATCACATTATGCCTACCTTTCTGCCTAAAGCTCTCCAACCACAACCTATCCCCTATACTAACCATTCTTTAAGTAACCCTTAAGTCGAAATCTTAACATGATATAGCAAAACAACTTGATGAGGAAAGGCGTAAATCACTACGAAATGTAGCTAAAGGAATCAGATACTACACAAATTAAACAAGCCGCATAGTGAAGTTGTTTAATGAAAATCAGCAGAAACTCTCTTTTTTAGAAGATAAAAATCATCAGAAGCTCTTACAGTAAAGACTTGGGATATACGTCCACTACATGAAACTACACATTCTTTAAGCAGTAAGCAGTGAGATCACATGCTGATAATTGTACAACAACATACACAGTGTAATCTCACAAGTGGGTCAGGGAGGTAGAGTGTACGCAGACCTTACCCCTACCTTGGGAGGTAGGGAGGTTGTTTCTGATAAGACGCTCAGCTCAAGGAAAAGCATATCAAAGTAGATGGAAAAAGAAATAACGGAAGTGAAGATATCATGGAAACATACTATAGAAAGAATGACATAAAAGAAAAAAAAACAATAACTATACACCACATGCTGAGAATTGTGTATTGAGATAATTCCAAGACTTTGAGTAATTTTTCCGTGGTAAGTTAGCCATATGCCCATATAGATAGCTTTACACAAAGTGTTCGCAGAATCCCTGACAACAATTTTTTTCTAACTTATATCCTACATTCAGGAGTGTAAGTTCAGTGACAGGACTCATGAAGCGGACATGGACGTGAGGCTTAATACACACGGCATACTCAAGAGAGGAAGTTTCAAGTATCTAGGTCAGTAATCCAAGGTGTGAAGAGATTGACGATGATGTCACACATCATATTGGAGCCGGATGGATGAAATGGAGACTTGCATATGGTGTTTTGTGTGATAAGAATGCGTCATCAAGACTTAAAAGGTAAGTTCTACCATGTGGTGGTTACACTAACTATGTTGTATTGGGCAGAGTGTTGGTCAATCAAAAACCTCCATGTTCAAAAGATGAAAGTAGCAGAAATGAGGATGTTGAGATTGATGTGTGGGCAAACTAGGAGAGATAAAGATTAAGAATGAAAAACTCTGGACAAGGTGGGGGTGGCATCCGTGGTGGACAAGATGGAGGAAGTGAGGCGGAAATGGTTTAGGCATGTGAAGAGGAGAAGACCAGATGCTCTTGTAAGAAGGTGTGAGAGGTTGGTCATGGTCGGTATGAGGAGAGGTAGAGGTAGGATGAAGAAATATTGGGAGAGGTTTTTAGGCAGGACATGGCACAGCTACAGCTTATCGAGAATATGACCCTTGATCGAAGAGTGTGGAGGTCGAGGATTAGGATAGAAGAGGTAATCTAGCGATTTTCTTTTCTATTCCAGGAGTATAAGTATTTTTCTGGTATTTTCTTAGTCTTAGAGCTCTATTACAACCTGTTGTTTCTCTTGCTTTAATTATCCTTTTATCTAGTTGTTGGTTGCTGTTTCTGCTCGTTATTAGTTCTTTTTCACTTGTCCTTGAGCCGAGGATCCAAAGAGTTAATTACTTCCAATGTTGTCAAAGACGGACTTAAACTGTGCTTAAGCCCTCAAGCGAGGCTCAAAACGTGTTGAGTGTTTTGCCTCACTTAACATGTGCTTCAATCTCCTCATTAGGGTCCTACGACATACTTTTCCTTGCCAATGAGTCTCTTACACTAGACAATTGATGTTTCACGTTATCGTATTTTTTAAAAAATTTCTTTGTTCATATATTTGTTACTTATGATTATAATTATTAGTCTTGAATTAAAGATAGTTTATATTTTTCCTTTGCTTGCACCTTTTTTCATTAGAGCCCACACTTTATTTACGCTTTGCGCTTAAAGCCCCAACAGACCTTAGAGCTTTTTTGCGCTTTTTGCACTTGATAACACTAATTCCTTCTATTTGAAATCGCTTTGCATGTCATTATCTGAAGTGCACACTTTTTATGAAGCACATGGTGGTGGGGTCCTTTCCCACTTTGCTCCCTTGGTAACTCAACACCCAATCTTATGGTTGGAGGTGGAATATCTTTCCCACTAGGTTATCCCTCCTTTATCAAGACATGCACCTTAATTACTAAGTTTTAGGATACATTTTTTAAACAAAAAGGTGGTTTCTGGACCAGCTTGTGTGTGCATCTTGACAATTTAACCAGGCACCTCCTATGATGTTACCTCTAACCAGCTCAGAGGCCAGGTAAGTCCATTAAGGCTAAGGCAAATGGAAAGAATAACCTAGTGTTTTTTTGCCTCTGCTGGCATTTGGAGACCTCATAGCTCTCCCCCCACTTCACTCAATAGGTCAAACCCTTCTGTGCAAGCTTTAGGATACAATACGCCAGACACCAATAACCCATACACTGACACAAAGTTTAATTTAGAGATAAATGAAAGATTTACAATTTACATGAACTGATTACTCATTTTTTTAATTCTGAGTGCCTGTGACCATCCCTATTGAACTTATTTAGCCATGTAAAAGCATCAAAGTTGCGTGAAATTAGTGTCTTGTGCGAAAAAGTTGCAAAAGTTTGAACTAATTTCAGAAAACTGGGAAGAACGGAAGCCATCCTGTCTGACAAAACTTATTTTAAGTTAAGGAAATTTCATGGGAAACATTTACTACAGATAAAAGCGTCAAGCAAAGAACATGAAATGAGTGGCTTATGAGGATAAAGCTGGAAAAGATTGAGCTCCTTACAGAACTAGGAAGAAAGAGAAGCATTTTTCTAACTAAATCTAGTTGAGGTTCAGGAAAACTCAGAACATATAGAACAATTACTTTGAATTTCACTCAAGAAAATTTTTCTAAGATCACGAAATGAAACTAAGACAAGTTTGCAGCAAACATCAAACTAATCCATTAGCTTACCTAGATCCCAAACTTGAAACTTTATATTGTTATACTGCACCGTCTCAACATTAAATCCAATTGCTGCATCATGAAAATCAACAAAAACCATCCATTACAAGAAAAACAGGAGGAACATCCAAAAGAAAACCAATATCCTCTCTTCACTTAAAGAATGTAAGAAAATGCAATGATTAAGGTGGAGGCCAAGGTTCAAATCCCACTGAAGTATGACTTTGCTCGAATCTGAATCTTGATGTACACCTTACTAGTGTTTGCCAGGCAGATGAATTTCCCACCCATAGATGGCACATAAAATTTCGTAGATACGCTTCTACCTCATGACCCAAAAAGAAAGAGATCATAGACAATCACCACAGTTTCATTTTTCTATTTCACAATTCACACTTCCATATCCATTAGAAAATGGCTAATTCTATCTCTAATCAACTCAGCATGATTACTAGTCCTCCCTCTTCCCAAAAAAAATAGTCTTTTTAACTAATACTCTTAAACGAACTAGCAACTTATTCTAACTATTGTATCGATTCGAATGTCTTGTCCCTTTCTAAGTACAAATCAATTTGTTTTGGATTAATTTGAAACATTTACTAAAACTGAGCCAAGTGTAAAGGGAACAAACAAATCTGGATAAAGAGTGACACAAGTAACCTACTTGGAATAGTGGAAACTACTTCACCCATCTGAAGACGATCTGCATAACCAAAAAGCAAGAAAACAAGGAATCATCATACTAATCAAACTGAATATGAAAACCCAGTATTCAAATCACAAAATAAGCAAAAGGGTATCCATAAAAACCAGTAAATCATACAGAGAATTGTTGTTTTGCCAGCATTGTCAAGTCCAAGAACTAAGATCCGAGCTTCCTTGTTCCCAAATAACGAAGAAAACAATCGTGAAAACACTAATCCCATTTCCCCCTTCGCTTGCTTTCTGTATATACAAAATCAAAGATCAGATCTCGAAACAAACCCCAATAAGCAAAAGAAAAAAAATTGTTCACAAAATTGAATGTAGTGAATTTTTAGACAAATTTATGGTGACCCAGTAAAGGAAAAAAGTTAGATTTTTTATTGAAGTGAATTACCAGAGAAAGCTCAAGGGTCTGTTTTGGGAACTTGATTAGTGTTAAGGTTAAGTTAGAAGAGAGAAAGTGTGAATTGGATCAACCACAAAGACATATAGGAGTATGAAAAAAAAATGTTTTTTACAACCAATTGAGATTTGGGGGCACTTTTTTTTTTAAGTTATTTTTCAATGAAAAATGTTTTTCATATATTTGGGTTGACTCTTAAAAATTAATATTAGAATATTGAAGAGTGATTGGATTAATTTTTTATTAAGAAAGATTAATAATAGTGCTCGTGAAAATATTGAATATTTTTGGACTTGTATTCTACTTCAAGAAATTTCATTTAGATATTTATAGTTTATTGAAACACACAATATGAAAAGAAAAAAAAATTAGATTTTTTTACGGTACCATCAAAAATACTAATAGCTTAGCAAGGGAGATAGCAAGTGTTGTCAATTTAAAGGGTGTTCAAATTATGAAGAGCTTGATTCAAAAACTTTTTGTTAGCCCTATAAGACTTTGATACTTTAGGAACTTTCTTATCGATTTTAACCTTTGTGCTTTTTTTTTAAAAAAAAATAGACTCCCGAATCTAGAATTTATATTTTAAATCTTTAGTATTCTTAATACTAGACTTTTTTTCTTAAAAAATAATTATGAGTTCATTTTTAGTGAGGGTGATACTAATGAATCCCAGAAGACAAGTAATCGTCACATATTACAAAGTGGAGAACATACGATATTCAATTTTGGGATCAATTCCTCATTCTTTAGTTTAGCAAAGTTTAGTAGCATGTCTTCTTTTTTTTTCTTTTTCTTTTTTTTCTTTTTTTTTATTATTATTATTAACATCATTATTATTATTATTATTATCTAAGATTTAATTTCTCACATTTTATCTTAAATGACATGTTTTTCTAGCTTGCTATATAGAATGGCATGACATATTTAAACTACATATCTTGGAGACGAAGTTTCGATATATGTCAAGGTTCTATCTTTCTTAAACTCCGTCTCCAATCAAACACCATAATTACCTGCACATTGGTTCATCAATAGTTCGAAAGGTAATAAAAAAAAGGGAAAATTTTCAAAACAACAATATTTTAGCATTTAATAGGACCCTTTGTCAACATTTTCAATATTTATTTAAAATGTCAATATTTTGATTTGCTATAAGGCTGACTTTTGTATTTATTTAATTTGAAAGAATACAAATCTTTAACAACAGAATGGAGAAAATCATGGGAGAAAATATTTCAAAAAAGATAAAAATCGCTTAAATCTCTAATCAGTTACAATTGGAAAAATACGAAGTGTCATCTCTCTCTTGTTCTTACAAATGCCTTTCACCATTGTTCTGCATATTTCAATATCCATTTTCGAATACTCCATTGAAATTGAATTTAAGTTTTCGTTGATTTGCCCCACTTTTCGTTGGATAACAAAATTTTGAATTAATCGATTGTTATTCAAACTCCATTATCAATTTTTTGATTCTCCATTGATAATCCTCATTCTTCGTAGAAGTCAAGTCGATTGATCATCGTTTATGGACGAATCTCCTGTAAGAATTTTTATTTTTATTTGTCAAGAGTCATGGATCCGTTGTAAAAAAAAGTTCATCATCCTTCTTTCCTAAAAAATACAAAATTGCATAACGATCAAAATTATCTTCATCATCGTTAAAATTCAAAATTGCATCTGTTCATCATCGTTTTTCCTAGAAAATCAAAATTGTTGATAGATCTGGGAAGCAATTTTGAAATACAAAATTGAAGCAATTCATCATCGGTGTTCCTACAAAACACAAAATCGAGGATCGATCAAAGAAGCTAATTGAAATATACAATCGAAAAATCACATTTGTTTTTCAAGATATAATCGATCTGGTATTATCTCAAAGAATTCATCAAAATTAGTGGTGATGCAATATGAGAGTAGATTTTCGAAAAAAATTTCAAATACAAATTTATTGTTGTGATATTGTATATTGAATAATCGAAATACAAATTAGTTTGGATACAAATTTGATGATATTATGTATTGGATAATTAGAATACAAATTTATTTTGAATACAATTTTGATGATGTGATCCCTATTCTCTATTGAATTATTATGATTTTATAGATTGAATGATTGGAGTATAAATTTGATTGGAATACAAATTTGTTCAACAATTATAGACAACTTTTAGAATACAATTTTTGAAATACAAATCAGGTTAGAATGCAACTTTTTCTTAAATCAAAAGTTACAAATAAAAATGAATAGTGAATTTGATCAATAGTTAGGAAACAACTTTTAGAATACAATTTTTGAAATATAACTTTTAAAATACAAAATCAGTTTAGAATACATTTTTTTTGTTTAATCAAAAGCTAAAAATAAAATTACATGAGTACAAATTATTGATATACAACATACAAAATACATTTATTTTGAATACAAATATAGTTGATAACTGAATTTGAACATAACATACAAAATGATTGATTTGAATGCACATGGATACAGTATGCTTAAATAAATAAAATATTGCTGAAAAATAAAATTAAAATATAAAAAATACAACATATATACTAATATGAATACAATTTAAGTAAGAATATATATCATTTTAGTCGTTTATAATTTCATTTAAATAAATATAATATTCTGAAAATACAATTGACATATGAAAAATACAACTGACAATACTAATATGAACACAAATTAAGTATGAAATTAAATAAATTAAATATTAACTGAAATTGGAGAAATTTAAACATCAAAATACAAAACCTATCCTAAATAGTAACGAGGTTTACTAAAAAATCAGACTCAAAAGGAAATTTACTAAATAAATGATTTTGAAGTTGAATAAATTGGAACACAAAAATACATAAACGGCCAAAAAAAATACAAATCAAAACTAAAAAATTCTGATATTAACCCAATCAATACAAATTCAAAGGAAGTTATCCGATTAAATGAGAATATGATGCAAATATTTTGTTTAATTTTTTCCATTTTGAAAAAAAGAAAAAAAGAGAAAGAATCTGAAAGCAGAGAGAAGGGGAATACAAATAATGAATAAAAAGAGAAAGTGGAGTTGATGAGGACTGACAATTTGATGTATTTTAGGAAGATAATTATAAATATATAATTTGCTATAAAAACAATATATGAGAGAGAACGTGTGATTAATGTGAGATAAATTAGGAACTAAATTAGGATACACTATATATTTTAAAATATTAACATTTTTAATAATTATTTTAAAGTGTAGATGTTTTTAACAATTATATTAGGTATTTTGACTAATTAGCTAATTTTTCCTAAAAAAAATGAAACCTAAGAAAGGTCTTTATTTTATTTTTTCAATACCTGCTAATATTAACACATTGGGAACTTTTGTTGTGATGGTTTGGACATATTTGTTCTAGGCCATTTTTGTAGTTTTACATATTTGTTCAAGCCCATCTATGTATTTGGCCCAATCGGCCCATATTTACTTTTCACCCATGCATCACTATATCCTCAATGATCCTCTTTGTTTATCTTTTACTCAAATCTAAAATATTAGATCAAAATCTCGTCAAGAGATATGGTGGGATGGATAATATATATATACCTTTAGTTAGAGATTGTGCATTCAAGCACGAGGAATGAAAATACTTCGTCGGACTAACAGTAAATTACTGAAATGGGAGTTTGATGTACCAACACAGCTTTAACAAGTTGTACCAAAAGCTATCTAACTTGTACAATAACTATGACCAACACAGCAACAAATAGTTGTACAATAAGCAACATAAAGTGTACAGTCTAAGTTGTTTCCCATTTAACACGTGTCAATACACTAACTTTTCAGCTCGGACAACCTGTATCCCTCAACAAAATAAACATATATGTCACCAACACCTCTTCAAAGAACCAGGGGCGGCTCAACGTAATTGGGGGCCTAAAGTGAAATTTCAATTTGAGGCCTAAGATATAAACAAACTTTGTATACATATTTATTCAAATTTATTTTTCTTACACTATTTAGATGAAAATTATTAGTATTTAATATTGTTTTTCAATTATTGATTTTAGGTAAGATTTTATCAACTCAACATTGAAAACATCCTTTCAGTGAGGCAATTATTATATGAATTGCTAACTTTATAAGTAACAAGTTGTCAAATTTTAAATAAAGATAAGAGTTAGAACCACAAAATCTGATTTAAGAAGTTGATGACTTGGTATACACCATTTTAATATGCTTGTTGTAATGTTTGAAACTAAAATTTAAAAAGAAATAAAAAAGAATTTGTAATTCACTTTGTTCAACACTTTTCACTATTAATTCTTCTTTTTAACAAAGTATAAAAGATGTTAAAGTGGGTAAAATAATTTTTTTTTTTTATCATAATTAATCAATTTTTTCTATAAAAATTTAACACATAATTTATTCTTGATAATAATTTGGAGCATAAGGCATAAGCCTTATTTTATAAAGGCAAGAGCCTGCCCTGCAAAGAACAAACTTGATCTCACTGCTTTCAAGCTTTAGGTTTCAATGGTCTATGAGTTCTCTTTCTCCTATTCTCTTCTATTTCAATTTCAAGTCTCTGTACTCATTAATTTTGGTATGTTTTTAGTTAAACTTATTTAGAGATTTTTGAATTTCAAAGGTTTGCTCTGAATTTTGTTTTTCCAGTTCCCAAGTTATTGTTCTCTTCACTTCTTTCAGTTTCAGCCTAACATTGATGAATATAGTAATCACAATTTTGGTATGTGTATCTTAGTTTCTTATTCTTGGATACAATTTCAGTTTCAGCCTATCATTGATGAATCAGTTTAACTAACTACCTGATTTGCACATGCATTGTGTTTCTTTGACGAATGTTGTCCCGATAATCAATTAATTTGTGCGAAGTTAGACGTCTTACAAAAATCTAAAACATCCAAGATCACTTAAATTTGAAGTGGATTGTGCATCCAAGTTGTTTGATTATATGCCTCACTTAACTTATTTGAAGTTTCCTGTTGCCATTCTCTATTTTTGGGCTGTAGCAGGATAGTCTTATCATCCATTGATGTACTGGCCAGAAAATATCCATTAGATAGAGGAGATCATCAAGATTTTGCAGGTGC